AATTTAAAAGTTACATCATTCTGAGTATACCTGCCCTTTCATTGAGTCATGATTTCAAAGATCAGTGAATAATTAATTAGTAAATGCATCATCTGAAACAACTATAACTTTTTCTAAGAATTTGGTGCAAAATATCTGTGACTGGATATGAAAAGAGAAATATCTTATACTAGGGTATTGTAAGAGAAAAAAGTCTCAAAATATTTCAGAAAAACATTGCAATATATGATGATACATGAAGTTTTTTCATTTGCTTGTTTCTCAATTTTGTTTATTGATTTTCAGGAAGAAAAAAATCAGATTTCAGCTTTTCCATTCCAAAACTCTTATTCTAACAGTCTTTTGCACTTATTTTTTATCCATTAATTTTTAATTGCTAGAAAACAATCCAACATTTCTTCAGAATTTTTAATGTATTCTGACATTTTGTTAATGCGAATACTCTAATTTTTGGACCAAAACATGCTTATTACATATTCCAGAAGTATCAACGTGAATAAAATCGCTATTTCATTTTTTGTTTCAATATATCACATCAACCCAATCGATGTATATAATTGTTACACCCCAATCAGATAAATTTTTAACTCAATCCATTATTTTACCTAAATTAAGAAAATATTTTTTTTTAAAAAAATCCACAAAAAACATTATAATGATTAATAGTCTATACTTAATCGGAGCCTGGGTGGAGGTGAGTTAGAGGGACTAAAGCGAGCCTTTCAGAACTGCATAAGCAACTCTTACTTTGTCATTCTGCCTTGACAAGCATGATGTAAAATGATGAATTAAGAGAGAAGAGATAGACAGGGATATATAAGTATGCTGTGGTTGCACAAGTTAGCGTAACATATTAAACATGACACATATTAAGCAATATACAATCATAAAAATAAAATGTTTTACTTTTATGCTCATCTCAATAGTTACATAAAAATAAGTACACCTCAGAATCTTGAGATATTTTAAGAAAGTTGCTTTTTTCAAAATATACCACCTTCTTTATCTTGTTCATGTCAGGTGATCAAAAAATTTCTTTTTGGAAAGTTTTTGGTGAGTATTATCTACAGATATCCTCAGTAACTCTTTTGCACTTTTAGCACTTAAAATCCTGAAAGTTGTCTTAGGAGTCTTAGATTAATGTGTCCTTTATTATTGTTCCCTGACAACCGGGTTCTTTATTCAAAAAGTTATAGTTTCTACATGTATTATCAGTTCCTTATTGCTAGATGTGATGTAGACAGTACTGATTTTGTGACCAGGGTTTCACCCTATAATATGCAGAGAACATGACAGAATAAAAATATTTCCATTTTAAAAGCCTTTTAAAGGAAGGAAACTCCTAAACTGACTTTGGGAAATTCTGCTAATGGGCATACATCTATTAAAAGGTTTAAAGACATTAAAAATACACAAAAAATATTTTGTGGAAGGTTGACTTCTTATTTCATAAAGAAAGCCAGAAACAGAGTAAATGAACCGAAAACTAATGGTAATAGCTTTAGAAGACCTCATGTTCTTCTGTGGTCAAGATAGTGGTGTGATTACCAAAACGTCACACTGCATCAAATAACACACAAAAAATCACCACTTTTGTGAAGTATTGACAGTATTGGCCTTATAGCCAATATCCATAAAAAATTTCTCTTCAGTCTTGTTAAATACAGATTTAACATACACATAGAATTTGTGGTCACTACTTGTTCAAGGCCATATCTTAAGTCTAGAAATAATACTATACCATAACATTTATGCCTTTTTCTGGACTGGAAAAGTCATAATTGTTGTTGACCTCAATGGATATTGATCTCTGCAAAATTGGTGTTAAAATTGTGCAATCATTCTACATTTACAGAAAATACTGCATAAATCATGTTAAGGTACTGAGAATGTAGTCTACAAATTATGCCCTTGTACTCTTAAAAGTAATAGAATGCTATGTTTTATGTATATTATGAAAAAATATTATTTCTGAAGTTATATTCTAATATCTTTATAATTTAATATATATATATGTAGTTGCATGTAATAAAATTACTTCATGGAAGTGAATGTATTTATCCTTTAAATTCCTATACAATTCTCAGTATTTATTTGCACGTAACATGATTGAACAGCTGACAATACCTGTGGCAGAGGTAAAATAAATTTCTTTTTCTTATTCATGTCTTGCTACACAAACCAAGGTTCCATTTCAGTTACACATTCCAGCTCTCCAACACACAACAATCATGCATCACAAAAAACAACCACTGAGCAATTCCATCACAGTTCATTTACATTCCAGCAGAAAACACATTATGAAATCACACAATAAGTCCAATGGACTGTTGATTAATTAACTACAAAAGCTGAAGTCCCTTGGCTAGAGTAGGACTTTGCGAGACCAGGCCATAATCTGAGCCGTAAAATGTCAGTCGGCCCTTCTGCACGCCAACACCACGAATAAATGTGACAATCCTCCCAATAGTAATCTATATGACATTCCACATTTTCTCTCTTCAAAAGAAATGTGAAACATATCTTTCTTACTGGTAATATAAATTTAAGAAACCAAACCCTTCACTGATGTGAAGGTGTGTTTTATACAGGATAATGAAATGTATACCTCAGGGCTTTATCAAATTAGACAAACATTTTCACAGTAACTTTTAAAAAAGTGAATATTTGTAATTTTTTTGAAATGCAAGAACAAGGAAATATAAATTGAATACAAATATACATGCTGATTGATTTATGGGCAAGGAGCAATGTGATACTAGTCTGAGTATACTTTATATAGGTAAGTCGGCAAAAATCTTCCAGAGTAAGAGGGGTTATCATACAAGCAAAATAAGACTAGCTTGAGCAATATCTTATCTCCAGTACATGTAATTGTTTTTACATGCAGTTGTTATCCTCAATGCCAGTAAGACAGGCTATAACTGCTGTCAGATTAAATAATTGTATAATATTATAAGAACAAAACTACATGGAAGACACATAAAAGTGGACAATTTTAAGTATTTGTGTATACGTAAAAACTGTTTTAAAAAACAATAGAGCTTAGAGGTATAACTGACTTTCCGGAGTACAACATATGCTCTGTTCTGATTATATCTTGTTTTGTCTCAGAGTACAGCAAGGAATTGTGTGTGTTCAGAGTTCTGGTTTATGTTTTCTACAACAACTTCCTCTTTGTAAATACCACTGTCTAGAAATCCTACACCTTCCTCACAACACAAGAATTCCACCTTATTTAAACTTCAACAAAGCATTATTTGAATAGAATACACTCTTTTCACTTAAGTGCTTCATCTTGACACATTATGTCACTTACCAAATACAAAAGCTTCACTTAAATAAAGAAGCTGATGCAAAACAGTAGTTTCTTTTTCTTCAAAAATATCCTTACATAAAATATTTTTCAACAAGTAATATTTCAAGGGCAAGCAAGTCCTGATATTACAAAATTGAGACACAGATATAGGGTAGCACATCTACCTCATTGTCCTGAGCTTTGTTCAATAACAAACACCCTAAGTTAGAAAGCTTGTAACAAGTTGAAATATTAGCCTATCAGGATTAAGTTTGATGTTTTCTGGATTGACAAAAAAAATTCCTAAAGTGATAAAACCAATTGATAATTCTTGTAATTTCCTTGATCTTTTATTTGGTTTCACCAAAAGATACAGTGCTAAAGGAAATGTTATCAATGTTTTCCTGACATTTTATAACCCTGTGAAAATTAAACTTTTCACTCAATTGTAACAGACAAAACCTGACAAGAGTAAGCATTCAAAACTGAGTGGTGCATCTCTGAATACAGTAGATCAGGCTTTACTTTTCTTTCCTTCACGTGAGGTGTGTACTGTACACTTATTGACCGCTATTGGTTAGAGATGGTCCAGTCTGATATGTACCCATTAGTGTTGGAACATACAAAGAGTGCGAAGCTGCCCATTAAAATGCTATAAAACAGACCACCAAAACTAGATCACTGAGAACGAACATAACCCCTACAGACATGTTACATTAATACAGACAACTGTCTGTCAATCACATTTACATGTACAAAGGGAGATAATTCAATCACCATCTACCTACTGTATGATACACATGTATAATCCATGTTATGCAGAGTATTCCTTTATTTAAAAAAAAAAAACAAACAAATAAAATTAATCATGACAGTTACTTCAAAAACAAGTTACTTCTTTACAATTGTAATTTGACGAAGTGCTAATCAAATGCAATTTCCATATATCAATCATTTAACTCTTGAATCCATTTTGAATTTTAACATTGCTTATATTTTATTTCACAGGAAAAGCCATCTCTGTTTTCATTATGATTCATATTCTAAATACATTAACCTAGCATTAACATGGCAGATATTTAGAAAATTCTGTTCGATAAAACAGATGCACATATGTTTTTACTAATCCATGGGCCTTCTAACTGAATACTAAAAATATAAACCATGTGGCTTACACAGTTTTCATCAACAGAAATGTTTAAACATCTTTGACTGAAGTGGTCAAATGCATTCTACATAATTAATGACACTCTCACAATTTGTTTTCAAGTGAATCAATCATAATGAATTGCAGTAGAGCCAAACTATATTTGTTACATTGACACCATGTTCACTTAACTCTAACTTTTAAAAAGAGTCTTATTCTCATATAAATGAAGATTGCCATTTTATTGATAAATTAATGAAGACGTCAACTGGTTTGATCAACTTGTATCAAGTCTTTCTGTAGTCATGGTTCACCTTCCCAGAACATAGAGTTGACTGTACATGTCTGTTATGGATTATTATGAACTGATAACATACATCCATTACATAAGTGTTTTAACACAGATATAAATAATTAAATCTATAGTTAACAAAATCAATGATATTCTCCAAAAAACATCCAAAATTTAGTGCGTCTTTACAATTAATTAATTATAAAAAGGGGGATAGGCTATGATCCATTCAAGATATCGTCTGCAAAATTAAACAACTTTACCAAAATGATGTTCTCTCTCATCTGCAAGGCCACCGACTGTCGGATCTTTGCAGCCTCGCCCTGCCGTTGGAGGACCTGCCTAAATTTTCTCTCAGTCATACTCTCTGTCACTTTCTGTGGTTTATTTTCATCTCGTCACGGAAGTCGACTCTCTCCGCCATGACATTTTATGACCTAAGGGAAGTAACTCAATTAGAGATTAGACTATAATATCTGAACAATCCTTATCGCTAATCCGGATTATATGAGATAAGCGAGACACTACGACAGTTTGTCTTCTTAAAAAAAGGCATCTTTACGAGATATCGTGAGCATAAAATGTCATCGATTGGAGAGGGAGAATCGATACAATCACCTTTTTTTTAAACTTAGTATTGATGATAAGAAGGCAAGGAAGGAATCAGTGTTCTCTACACAATGGAACTCTCAGATGGCCTGAGATTGAAATAAAGACATGCATATGACTTTTAATATCAGACTGGAATAAAGACACAAATTTTAATCAAATCAAAATTTGTTCAGTGCTTGTGATTCACGTATTTTAATATGAAGTTACAGCGACCCAGAAAAAAGGAACATTTTCATGGTAAAAATGATTAGTCAACACAATCATTTTATATAGACGACAAATATATACATATTCAATTAAACAGGAACTGGTATACCTTAACTTTTCGACAGGATGTGTCTCATACCCCTTTTCTTCTTCTTTTTTCGGGGGGGGGGGGGGAGTAAGTGCACAGCTGTCAAGTCGCCTAAAATTCTTCGTTGGTTCTTATGGCCTGTTTTTTTATAGACAAGACGCAACAACATCCTGGTAGAGGATGCATTGAGCTATCATTTCCCTCCTTGGAGGCTGTAAGGTTATAATATACCTCCTGTTCCTACCAGGTTCCCCACCTACTGAGGGATGTGGACAAGAGTCAAACAGCCATTGGACAGGATAGGGGTGGGGGACTTAAAGAGAATCCCATCCCAATCTATCCGGGGGATCATATGTATAGATGTATTTCGCTGAAATATATTATTCTCCGTCCCATAATGTTCTAAATGGTGTAGGGGAGGGTCCCTCTTGTCCTAATTTTGAAGTCAAATCGTAACAGAGCCCATGCAGGACCAGGTAGTGATGTATAGAATCTTTTGACTCAACGAGGCACATTCCCAGTCTGTCCACGTTTAACCTACCAAATATGAACAAAAACATCTAGACAGGGAGAGGACCGGAGTGTGCTCTCAATCCTACCCTAGGGAATGTCGGGACATAATTTCCCTTTTAACTATTTTTCTTGATACATGTAATTTAGATTACTAGTATACCTGTATTGAATCATTTTTTTTCGGGTTGGACCTTGCAATCGCTTAGCTGCACATATTCAACTGTGCACTTACCCCCCCCCCCTTTCAAATAAAATAGGATATACCAATTATACCTAAGGTATCTTACATTGTCTAGTTGTTTAGCTCTTTCGAAAGTGGCTGTGAGTGGGATAGTTCTTTTATTAAAACCGCGACAGAAACTACCCCCAGAGGATTTGTCCTGGAATAACTCCTGTCAAAGGTTTAAAGGTGCTTAGACACAGATTTGAAGCTAATATTTTCTCAAAATTTCTGTATAATATCACGACTTATATATTGCAATAGCATTTCACACGAAAATATAGCTAAAAACTTATTTTATCTGGAAATTATTGGAACTACGAATTCCTGGACGCGTTTGATTAACACATCCTTGCACTTTCACAAATTTTATCTTTATCCTTAATATTTAAGAAAAAAAGCGATTTTGTTTTGTATTAATGAAAAACATTACATCTATAATCCAGAAAATTCAGAGTAGAAATGTGCGAAAACAAACCCCCTCACTAATATCGTCAGCCCGTGCTCAGTGTTGTGTACAGAGTTTAACAAATTGAATACACCCGTGAAATGTAAACTGTTTCTGTAAACAGGGCACGAGCTCTGTTATTGTTAATGTTTACGATTCACCGGGTGTGTTCAATTGTTAAAGTCTGCACACACCACTAGGCACGGACTGACAATACTGTGAGTGGGTTTTGCTTTCGAACATTTCTACTCTGAATTTTCTGGATTATAGTTTTAATACTTTTCATTAATACACAACAAAACTGCTACTTTTCTTCAGTATTAAGAATAAAATTAAAAATTGTGAAAATGCAAGGATGTGTCAATCAAACGCGTCCAGAAATTTGAAGTTTCAATAACTTCGACATGAAATAAGATTTTTATTATATTTTAGTATGAAATGCTATAGCAACATATAAGTCATGATATTATACAGAAAATCTGAGAAAATATTAACTTCAAATCTGTGTCCAAGCACCTTTAAGATCTTCATGGATAAGCGTTTTATTTACTGATGTACATGTGAATACATTTTTCCTGAAGGATGGATAGGACATTTCATACCCATATGTACACTGTAAAAAATGTGTTTAGATGATAGACACATTTCTAAACACATTCTTGTCACACTTTTTTTAATGCGTTTAAATTTCAAACATGTTGAATTTCAATACGCGTAATGGAAAGTGTTTTAAACCTAAATACATACATGTTTAGAGTTTAAACACAATTCTAAACACTTAGATTCGCGTTTAGAAGCTAAACACTTCAATGTTTTAAACAAGGATCTGCAAGAAAACCAAAAATATACAGGTGTGTCCGTTTTAAGTTTTATTTACTTCTAAACATCATATTAAAATGAAAAAAAAAAGGCCTAACACACAGTAAAGTGTTCTCACGCAGTCACGGAATCATTGTTCGGTGGAATTCCTTTTACTTGTGAATGGTTTCAATTGTTTTTTACAAAGTCTTTTAGAAGTTTTGACATATAAAAATAACTGGCATCTAAAGAGTTAGTAACATCCAAGTTGTTGAATTGTGTTGAATTGTCTGCATTTTGTACCAGTAGCACAATACAAAGTAAATATACATGTAAAAGACTCCAGCTATAGTGTGCTTCTTGCAGTGTGATGCAATACGGATCACTATTTCAAATCCGTCGTGATGTAAACAAAGCAGCAGAGTATCTGGATAATCTTGAAGGTATTTTCTACGGCAGTATAACTCACATCCATTATCAGAAATGAATTTTGTTCTTTCTGTCGGCTATCCAATTAAGTTAACCTGTAAGAAAGGACGTACGTTGCATTTAAGTAAAAGTATGTGTTCCTCACTGAACATGCTAAAGTTTTACATTAATTACTAAGCATATTATAAAAATGTTTAAATAAATATTATTGCAACTATATAGATTCAATATTTACTCTCATTTATGAATACATGACATAACACCGAAAGACATCCTTGATATAAAGTGCAATGTTATTTACTTTGCTCATCATGTTTATTTAATATTAAAACAAAAGTATACATACCCTACAGCAATAACAATGAGCCTTTCACATGTTTTTCACTATTTCTGCGGTGGTTGGCACTCAAGTTCTCATCAGCTTTCTTGAAAACATCGTTTACTGTTTTGTTGTGATTTTCTTTGTTTCGACAACCGCGCTTATTAACGTTCAAATATGTATCATTTCCGGGAAGATAACTCTGCACTTGACCGAATTTAAAACAAAAAACATGTTCAATATCTAAACGCATATAGATTTTAAATACATTTAGACATAAGTGTTTTGTTGTTAAACACAATATCAAACACGTTTAGATCTAAACACGTAATAGAAGTGTTTATTTCCTAAGCACATTTTTTAAAGTGTAGCGTTGCTGAACGTGAACATTTAATTCAAGATTATTAAATATATGTCCATATAATGTCAATGCCATAGTCTATCAAGAATTAATTTACTCTCCACAATATCTCTGAGATCTCATCTTTTTAATAGTATGTCTAAAAGTAACCAATTTTTATGGTTAATGAACTGTGAAGATGTTGATGTGCTGTGCAATTTGTGTGAATTTATAAGTCATATGTAGTTAGACAAATTCAAAGTCACATGTTGATCTCGACTTTCATTTCCATGTACTTTAATTCACTACTTATACTATAGTATGTTATGTTGTTAATATGCGTGTGTTGTATACTCCGCATTGAGCAGAAGTGGATTAATTAAAATAATAATAATACTATCCTTCAGCACTGACTCTTGCTGTTTATTGCAGTTTAATATAATTTACACATGGCATTCAACATACAATTTTTTAAATTATTATTATCATTGTTATTGCTATTGTTATTATTATTGTGTGTTTTTTTTGTTTTTGTTTTTGTTTTTTTGTTTTTGTTTTTGTTTTTGTTTTTTAATACTCTTTTCCATAGATTATGTATCTGTTTATTCTACATGAGGCAGAAGTGGATTTCTGTATATCCTTTAGCACCGACTCTTGCTGCCTCTTGTTGATGTATCTTTTTTTTAATGTGTTCAGTTATATGTATAATATTAATGGTAATAATGCACATGATTGCACATTAAGTTGTATCAATTGAAGGTACAGATATATCTTAAATCAAAACAACCTATGTCTACATATGAAACTAAAAACACCACCAATGTACTAAATGGAAGAATTGCTCTTCATTATATGTTGTATTCTGTCCGTTATCTTATCTGTAATTATACATGTTATATGTTTATGCCCATTGGGCCCTGATTTGGTAATAAATCCTTTTCTATTCTATTCTATAAGTATATTTTTAGTGAGTTGATAGAATATTTTATTCCCAGGAATAGCTTTGCTATATGTGAATATTCAAACTAAAAAAGTCTTCATTTTTTTAAAGGATCCATTTTTATAACAGAAGTATGATAACCCAGTTTAGTACAGATATTTAGTACAATCTGGACCTCACTCGGCCTTTTCCGTCGTTTTTTTCCGGAACTTGACGGAAACATGGAAAAAGGCCGAGTGATGTTCCGATTGAGCTAATTATTACCAGTCATCAAATTGGGACTGTAAGGATACAATCTAGTAGACATATGGGCCATTGTTTGATGATATTTCAACAATACAAGTAAGATTTTGGTCAAAATACTCCTACACAATTTGGGATTTATGCATTATAAATTCGGTGCTGCTTCCACAGTATCTTGACTTTCCACGCAAAATACAAATGACATACATGTAGTTTCTCAAATATAATGATTCATGCAATTTCACAAATACAAGTAGCTATCTCAGTTCTCCTACAGCAGATTTTAGTTATTTATATTTCCACAATATACCAACAATACCACAAACATCTCAAAAGTTTTCCTCTCTTATAACATAACGCTCTATTGGATGAAATGAAGAGGTTGAAGTAGTTCACACACAGTTACAATGGAGACAAGACTACATCCACCATCTCATTTGAATTTTTCAAATAATCTGCTGGTACTGGGTACGTTGCCGATATACCGCCAGAACACCCTCTTTGTAAAGGAAGGTATTTTAGTCTCCACAATTCTTTTGTCTGAAGTTCCTATGAAACACCCGCCCGTAGATACAATGCCACAGTGTGTTTGGCCATTATTGTTGGGGAACGCCACAATATCGCCTCGCATTGGAATGGATACGGTGTGGAAGTTCCGACACGCATGAATGATTTGGGACTTCCTGTCTCCCCACTCCGATGAATGCGCCGGGGAGTATCCACTAAACCTAAAACATATCATCACAATGTACCCAAATTTTGAAAAGGAAATTCCGTTTTATTAGTTAATAACTAATTTAGAATCATTTTTACTTTTAATCAAAGATATTGGAGAAAGGGAGGGGAAATTGTGAAATGATGCATTAGTTTTATTTCATTTATTTGTATATACCTACCAAGGTTTCTGACATGGCGCTGCCAGATCAGCTTCCCTTATAACATCATATACAAACATGGCAGATTTGTCCTTTTTGTTTCCTTTGTGAAAATCGCTGTCAGAGGACCAAAGCAGACTCCCAACATGGTGCTTGGCGACATAGTACATCCGGATATTGGGAGAAACACGTTCTGTTACAATCAAGCCACCTGCAAGCTGATCAAAGAGAGTATGAAAACGGATGTACGTTGCTTCCCAGTCTTAAAAAGGTTGAACAACAAATTGATTACATATATACTATAATACACTGTACAAAATACAAGATATAAGCTATTTTATTTACCAATCAAGGGCCCCGAGAGGCATTTCCACATATATAAATGCACAATTTAAACATAATTCACAATATACATTGTTTTTTTATATATATAAATATGTATATAAACAGTTACATAAACAGTTATATAATATTGTATTCAGCGTTAATAATCATAGACAATACCAGTGTCAAGTGTCCAAATTATTGTCATTGATCCCAAGACAATACAAATATGTTATGCTACAACATGTTCATACATGTATTTATACATTTGTATGGGTTTTTTTCCCTTTAAAATTGTAATATATTTCAGAAAAAATACAATAAAGTAAAATTGAAGAAAAGGAATGCATGTAATAAACATCTGAAAGAAGAGGGTTGTACAAAAAAAAAACGCATGGCGCTTGTCGAGTTGGGTGGGTTGGGCTGATAATTTTTTGATAGGGCTTTTACTAGTATCCTATCCCTTTGACACACATAACATCGTCATGATTGTAATGTACCATTATGTGTTGAATTGACAAAAAAGTAATTCTACATATCTTAGAAAGGAATATATGTACTTATATGCATCCGTATTTTCAGTTCTTTCCAGTGGCGGGTCCAGGATTTTTTGTTGGGGCTTCAACGCCCCCTATATCAAAAATTTGTCTGATTCATTTCATTCATTTAATTGATTTTGTTTTAATTTTATTCTAAGAATACAGGGGGCGAAGCCCCTAACATCTCCATATTTTTGTGCTAATAAAATGAAAAATATGACACCAATTGAACATTTGAGTTTATTTTAGAAAAAAAAAATGGGGAGACTCCAATACCCTGTTAAAATCCAGCAATTGTTTCGGTGCACATTTGTGAAAGAGAGTGAAAAGGTATATAAACCTGCTCAAATGCAAATTTTCTAAACTTTCTTGATAATGTTTGACGTGTGTCTTAACAATAACTCATTAAACTTTAATTTTGATTTTTTACTTGGAAAGCTATCTTTCTTTTAAGAAGGGTCGGTCCCTCTTAACATCAATAACTGTACCTCATATTTCATATAGAGATTTTCATTCCCAATCATACAACAGGCACGTAGTATCGTTTTTGAAAGGGGGGGGGGGCAACCAGAGAAAAAATTGATAGCTTACCTGAAAAACGTAAAACGTGACAAGCAAAAAGTTGTCCAAAATCGAAAATCCTATTTCGTGAAGGGGGGGGGGGGGGTTCCAACTTCCTTTCACAACTTAATTTTATTGATACGTTACCAAATTACCATGATATAACTATGCTACAGCAAAAAATGGGAAAAGGGGGGTGGGGGCAACCAGCATTTCATTGAACATTTTCAATAGTAAAAGGTTATGCTTGGAAAAAAAGAAGGGGGGGGCAGCCCCTGGTACCATTTGCCTGTACAATTGATATGAAACAGAAACCATTCCTTCTTCTCACGTTACATACGGAATGCATCTGGGTGCTTTTAACACCTTCAACTTTCAGATTTATTAACATATCATCGTTATATATACATTAAATCGTTATTAAACTTTAGTAATAATAATACAAAACTTAATAGTTGATTATAAGATTAAAAAAACGGTGGAATCGGGAGACAACTGCGAACCTACTTACACCTAAGACAACTTGCATTTATAATCCCCATTACGATCTTTGTTTTTATACAGTACAATATTTGAATTCACATAAAAACAAAGCCTTCAAATACAATAAAAGTAAAGGGAAAATATCCAACAGGGATATCGTACATGTACAATAGCGTAATTTAGCACAACAATTCACTAAATAGAAAACTTAGAACCCTGTAGACTAGGTTTCTAAATTATAAACTAAAGACCCTTGAGAACATTTAAAACTTACTTCATATTTGGCCATGGTTTTAACCAGCATGCTCCTATCTACAAATTTTTAAATTGATTGCGAAAACGATCGACAGCAATTACAAAGGTTTTGTTAGATAATGTGTAAATCAATCGTCGAGAAAGTTGGTTCAATGGAAAAGATAAAGAATTGTTTAAAGTGTCAAGTTTTTGGACCCAGTTCAACAATTTTCTGCACGGAACTTATTGAAATGGTAGATAATAAATAGCATTTATCAAAACTTTTTTGAAAGATTTGTTTATGTACAGTGTATTTCTTAATTCCAGGCCTTGGGTAAGGGGATTTTCTAGTTCCAACAATTCTACTGAAATTCAACCATTTTCTACAAACGCAAATGCCTCTTGTATGCATAAAATCGCTTGGTTATTAATATATGAACAAATAGGACACTTATTGTATGACATTATTTTTTTAAAAGTGTGGTGGTGGCGCACGGGGGGGGGGGGGGGGGCAAAACACCTTCAAAATGAGTTATTAGCATTTATTGTGATAAGTGTTTTTTTATTTCATTTTTTCTGTTTAAATTCATTCTTTCCAATTTTACTGCTTTTAATAATTGTAATATTCGTCATAACTTAGGTTTGATATGCACTTGGTCATCTACTTAATTTCCTGTAAATAAGTGGTATGGTCCTTATAACATTGAATGGTGTATTGTACTCCCCTCATTTCAGAATGGGAAATTCCACCGATGCCGTAGTTATGAGTAAAACATCTTGCTGTTCTCACCAGATTGCGATGAGGCACGTCGAGGGTACAGTTGCTTTACTTATCGTTTACTATCATCGCCTCGGACTAGAGGAATTAAGATAAGGCGCTGTGATTCATGGTAGCTTTATGGCTGTGTGATAATCACTGCGATCGAACAGATAAAAGCTGCACAGAGAATATATTATCCCTAGGGAGCCCCCAATATTTTATCTTTGGCATAAACACAGTGCAGTCGAAGACTCCCCACTTCCAAAAATCCGCCATTTTGTTCATCAACTGTTTTCCGACGGATTTCTGAATACTAAGAAACATTTAGGAGGTTCTCCTTAGTGTTTCGTCCATTGGAATTAAAGATCGGGGGACGATATCTACTAATTCAGGATGAACGGAGTGGTGTTTCTTTCGTGTTTCTTGGGGTTCCTTTGTCTTTCAATGGGACAAATTGATATCCCTGCTGACTGCGGGGTCTGCGATCGCAGTGCCTGTCCTAGCCAGGAAGACATGGTTTGTAAGGCAGGAATCACCCGTGATAGGTGTAAATGTTGTCAGGTGTGCGCCCAGGCTGAGGGGGAGGTCTGTGATTTGCCGGGACAGGGGGACAAGTACCCAAAATGTGGCGACTACCTTACCTGTGTTCAGATGGAAAGCAACAAAGATTTGGGAGTGTGTGTCTGTGACTATCAGGATAACCTTTGTGGTACCGATGACGTCACATACACCAGCATCTGTAAGCTCAGAGAGGCCCAAACCAAGAAAGGACGTGATCTAAAAGTCCAGAGCTCCGGACCGTGCAAATCAGGTAATATCTATATGCACTATACATAGATCCCTGTTATGTTTAAAATTCAGAACCACGACTAAAGTCGGTCGACTAACAAATAGAAGAAAAGGCTTGGATAAGGAATAACTGTTACATATGACTGCTGTATGTTATACAAAAGAATCTTTCTGTTAATACTATAGATATATTGAACTTATATCCTAACACTCCATTAGAATCTAAATGTTCAAAGTTGTATACTTTTAAACATTTCAGCTCCTCGTATCCTGACTGGACCAGACAGCGTAACCAACGTTACTGGAGACAATGTGGTTCTGATCTGTGAAGCTGCAGGATACCCGATCCCTCACATTGGCTGGCTGTTCCAGAGGACAGACGCAGAAATCAGCAACCTGCCAGGTAACTTGTCAATATTAAGGAGTTCAGAAAAAGATGGTTTAGTTGGGATTTCAAAGCTACCGCCACCCCCCCCCCCCCCCCGTCACCTTGTAATTAGCTAAACATCATATGGTTAATCTTCATAAAAAATGCTAACCATAGTAACTCTGTATTTTGTATCCATAGTTTTATATATGATACTGTCCATTCATTAATCATGTAATTAATTACTATGAAATAGGAATTGAAGATGTACATGAATGCATACAGGTTTTGAGTAACACATAATTAATTCAAATTTTTTGAAGTGGGCAATGTGGCTTGTCGAAAGGACCGCAGTGTGGTGGCTGACCAGAAGGTAAGGTGTCTGCAAATGATTTAACATTCGTCTCATTAAACTTGTAGGAGACGACATGTCGGTCTCCACTGTATCCCGGGGTGGTCCCGAAAAGTACCAGGTGACGGGGTGGCTTCAGGTGGAACAGGCCAGCAAGCACCACGAGGGTTACTACATTTGTGTGGCCCACAACAAGCTGGGATCAGACAAAAAGACTGGGAGGATTAAGATTCACGAGAAAGGTAGGAAATTTTCACCAATATATGGACTTCGTGTTTTGCTGGCAAACAACAAAATTTTCAATGTTATACTAACTCTGCTCAAATGTGTAATGTACGAGCAACAAAATGACGTGTCTAACCTATTAATCTATTCATAAACCGACTTTAAAGACTAACTAAGGCTTACTTGTTACTGAAAATACACACTATCAATGAGAATGTCATAAATAAGTTGTTCCAAAAATATGGAAATATGGGGTTCCCTTCAGAGATTAAAACAAAAGCACTGAAGGTTTAGGGTACTTTTAGTCCTAAAGCGTTGCAATTTGTGAATTCGGAAATATACAATATTTTGTACTTAAATTTTTTCCAGTATTGAACAGAGTGGAACGAAAAGAAGATGGAGACCAGATCTGAGTAGAATCACCAGAGTCTTTCAAGGCGATAATTTTAGCTTTCTGCTGTTTTAGCTAATAACTTTAATGTTTGTTCATTAATTGTGAATTATTTTGGAATGAATGCCACTAGCAGATCACTGAAAGTCTCTGTCTCTCAATACACGTATGTATGATGTATTTTGTCACATTGTTCTGTTCTTTTTTATGTTGTAAATCTGCAATCTTTATTTGTCCTTAGATCACAATCTGTATTATAATTATTTTTATGCCAATCTGAATACTCAATTTTTTCTCTATTTTTATTGAATATCATAGCTTATATTTTTATTATGAACCATAAACTTATAATATATCTATACTCTATTTTTTCTTTCGTATTTTATGTCGACTTATTGCTTGCTACACATGACAAAATGTCCATGAACTTTTATTTTGAAAAAAAAAAAACAATCAGTATTAAGAAGTTTTTCACATTTTTTGTCAAATTGTTTTGTTTCCTTATACCTGAAGTATAATATTGTTTACAAATGTCCTTACAAATTTATATTTTTCTGTCTTTATAATCTTGCCTCTGATCCGACAGTTAAAGGAAATCGGTATAAGTGACTTTGGATTCTATCTAAAATCAATGATGTTGTTAACACAAAATCTAGTGAACAACCAAGTCTTCCATTTTTGAAAATGCTAAAAAAAATAAATTTCAAATACTCATGTTTCTTTTTTATGTATGGAGAGAATTAAAGAAAGATTGCGCAAGACTGTTTGTAGGAAAATCTTCCTTTTCATCTTCTGCTGGTTGTGATTAATGATTTTCAACACATAGCAGACTGCTATACAATGTATCTCACTAAACATCTACACTGTACATCTAATGATGTTAAAATAAATCTCGTCTAGTGAGCCTGGTTCCTGTATTCAATACCACATTTTGGTATTTCTGCAGTCTTATGTTTAGTCTTCTCCCCATCTGAGAAGTCAAGAGATTGTAGCACAACATAATCAAAGACAGGCCCGTAGCAACGGTTTCAAAAGTGGGGATGGGGGCGGCAACTTCCCAAAAACAATCTGACAAGCAAAAAAAAAACCTATTTAACCGTCCAAATCCTGGAATTTGACAGTGCTCGTCCTTACTGCAAAAAAAAGTGGAGGGGGGGGGGGGGCAACCAGCATATGAAGGAAAAGTTACTACAGCAAAATATTATACCCAAAAAAGGGGGCGCCCCCTCCCCCTGCATGCGTTCTTCAGGCCTGAAAGATCAGATATCTCTGTCTCTATATATGGTGTTTGAATTTTCATAACGTTTTATTATGTCACCCCGGCAGAGGTGGGAGTTATTATACCCCCCGCAAACAAATTTTAGGGGGGTCTATTGGAATCGATTTGAGACATAGAAAAGAAACTGCAATTGGTACATTTGTAGAAAAATGTAAATTGCAGCTTAAAAATAGGTCATTGAAACTTTAAAAAAAAATACCAAGTATTCGACAAAGTTTTAAGATAGATAGTCCCTACAAATCTAAGAGTTATGCAGTAAAAATGTTTTATCAAGATTACACAATTTTTTTCCCATTATATAAAGCTTGTAACAAATTTACAAAAAAAATCTTTGTTTCTAACAGTAGTGACATAAATATGCATTCATATTGTACTATAAAAAAGCAGACTTAAAATTTACAGTGCATCACACAGCAGATAGTGTAAATCCATTTGTCCCTTGGGAGTAATGAGTGGACATGCATTATAATGAATGAGTTCAATGTGGGAAGCTGAACATCTCTGATCAAACAGGTGCTATCTATATCTCGTGGGAAATGGGCAGAAGAATTGAAAATTTGGACTCTAACTCTCTTAATTGCAAGTCTGTCAGATTAAATAAATAGTTACTGGATCTTTTAAGGCCTATTTACACGGTCTGACTTGTAAGATGTGATTTCAGATGTGATTTCACATCTGACTCCAGTGTTTCATTTACATTGTATGATTTGTCAGATATGTAGTTCATTAATATTTCCCTCCAAATTTCTTATTGTTTACAATTTAAGAATGGAAAACGGCAATTACATACTACCTTTCCATTTCCTAATGATAGCAGCTATTTGCCAATTGAACACAGAAGAACATGGGCAAGACCTTGGTTAGGACATGGTGCATATTATGCAATAAGTAAAGAATTGGCCACGGAAAACCCAAATGGTTTCATTTTTTCAGACAAATTTACTTCTGAGTATGATTTTTTAATCAATCTGTTTGTTCAGTTTCACTTTCCTGCCATTATCAATTCGAGTACATGGAATGAAAAATTCCCCCAAGATTTGGCCATGTAAGATATCACATTAATCTTAAAATTAATCTGGAGCAAAAGTTCGGGAAAAATCCACATGTTAATAGTACCTAATTTAGATCAACCTTTATGACCTTTCTTATGATTGGTTGAAACCATCTGACTTGCCAGACAGAATAGAACATGTCTCTATTCCATCTGACTCCATCTGACTTCATATCTGGCTTATGATTTCCCTATTTACACGGTATGATTTGTAAGATGTGGCGAGTCACATCTTACAAATCATACCGTGTAAATAGGCCTTTATTTTCAAAATTAATTTGGTATACCGGTAAATACTAATTTGATATTGTATAATATGATATATTTATTTATTTTTTATATATGAGCAAACAAATTACAGAATGTCATGTCTCACACAGATGACAGATAGTTGCATTTAATTTTTTTCTAATTTAAAAAACATGATTATCAGTATTTTGATGTTTTATTTGGCTGCAGCTTTGTTCATCATTCTTTAAAAAATACAATGAGCAGTTAAATTTTCACTCTTAATGTTTAAACAAATTGTGAACAGCTCCTTGATCTTTAAAATACTTTTAAGTGACTTGGTACCTTTTCTGAAAAACCCAGCGGGGGTTATTTGTCCATTTTGGACAGTTTTAGTTATGTTGCTCCACCTCCAATATTTTGCAGATGACTTGAAAAATCTTATCGTAACTTCACAGTAAAAGTCTACCGGTAGTTGTCATTCGACATACAATTTTTTTCTAAATGGTCACTGTTGCCACGAAAACAAGGAGAATAAAATCTTTTTTCTCAGTATAACTTCCCAGCCAATTCTTATGAATCATTAAAGGTTTATTCCTTGCATTACGTCAAACTGATCCCCCCCCCCCCCCCACACACACACACACACAATAAAACAATGGAATCGGTTGGACAAACTCTTTCACCCTTTAGAAACAAAGACTGGGTTAGAATGTTCTTTTTCATTAGATTTTTTCCTCTAAAGGATTTTGTAAACTGCAAAATATTGACGTGTGAGTGTCTCCGCAGTTCTTTGTTAGCTGCAGAACTGTAGCTCTCCGAAAAAAATGACAGACCGGTCTGTCATTTTTTTTTTCGGAGAGCTACAGTTCTGCATCTAAGTTCTTTGTATGCAACGACAGGTTGTATCTACAAACAAGGTCATCAATAACGACCGTAGATTTTGCGTAAAGCTGACTTTAAATGGGGCTGTTGAAATCATTGTATTATTGTCAGTAGTTTGCCTTAGTTTAAAAATTGATCTGATTCGGAGTATGCTCTTGAGTTGGAATAAATTGAAAGATATTGCACATAAATAAGGGAAGTTGATGATGGAAAAGCTGAAGTCATCCCGTTTGTCATACATGCAGTTTAGTTATTAGTTGGCCATTATTGTCTATAATCAGCAAAACATCCAAATGTGAAACAGATGTGGCAGACTTCGTAGTGTCTTTTATTTCAAGTTCATTGAGATATATCAAGGCGACATATGAAAGTAACTATTGTTATTTGATAAAACATCGTCGATAGACATGTATGTCTAAATGTTGAGTTGAAGTCCACAACAAGAGTTTTCTTGACGAAGTTTTCGAAAAAAAATTCTGCTTCAGAGGAATATAATTATATAAAACAGGTCGACTGATAAAAGAGCACAATTAGTGCCCATCGAAATTCCAACAAATTGTTGGGAGACCTAGTCTCCAAAGACTACATACGAGTAGATATTGTCAATGAGGAGATCCGGCATCTTTTTAATATCAACTTCAGAGTACTTGTGTGTAGAATCAGAAGGATTTTTAAACGAAGTTATATGAAAATTTTTGACTTCCTTGTTTATTGAGGAAGCAGTTGTCTGTAATGTAAAAAAAAAAAACCCTGATTTTTCGTGAGGAATGGTTGTCTAAAGCGTAGAAAAGTCATATGTTTTTATCCTATTGATGTTTGAAAAGTTTTGAGATTTTAAATTTTCCAAAAGTTCTTCCGAGTTTTTTTTTTTTTTTTTTTTTTAAGAATCCATATTTGATTTACACCACTTCTTGAATATGTTGTAGAACAATACGTCTGAAGTTTCTCTTTTACACCAGTTCATAATTTGTTGAGGAGTAGAGGTAGGTTACTGGTTGAACATATACTGGACCCTTCAATATACCTTTTCTGTAAGGATTTTTATGACGTTTTGGAATCCATTATAGGTAAGGTAAATCAAACTCACTTCACTGCCTGGAATGTAAAAAGTACTCAAAAATGAAAGGCGATTTTGATCTTTTGAAATTGAACTGTGAGTATAGGTTGGATTTCCGGGTGTGGAATTAAAATGAAAAAGGTGAAGATAACGAATAGTTATCGATCACAAAAAATTCTACAAACAATACAAATCTGTGAACAGGGCCTAAAACACGGACCCCAGGAATTTCCAGAGGTGGGATCAGGTGCCCAGGAGGAGTAAGCATCCCCAGTCGATCGATCACACCCGCCGTGAGCCCAATGTATTGATCAGTTAAACGGAATATTCCGTAATCAAATTAAGTACAAAATCAAAAGCCACTAACAATTGTTATGAAACACGATCCAAAAATGGATCATATTTGCTAACAAGGTCAATACAACGACCATAGTAGGGGTATTTACGAAATACTGACTTTAAACGAGTTCGTTGAAATCCCTGTAACATCAACCTATCTTTTAGTAGTCCGCCTCGGTTTAAAAATAGATCGTACTTAGAGCATGCTCTTGAGCATCGAATAAGTTGGGAGCAGGGATGGGGTAATTGAAAAAAGTAATTGTAATTGATCGTAATTAATTACATTTTTTGAAGTAATTGGAAGTAATTTGTAATTGAACATTTTTTTCAATTACTTGTAATTGTAATTTAATTAATTACACTGATAAAAATAGGTTGTAATTTCAATTACTTTTCCAATTACATTCAATTACTTTATATAATACACATTGATGATATATTGTCACCACTACCTCCCCATTTTATTGTCTTTTATTTTACTGTAAAACATATTCTCAATCCTTCAATTATACAAAATCTTAAGTTAATGTTTATGAGCAAATAAATGATGGACTTCATAATAATAATCTAGTTTCTTTCTAATCATTGTGTAAAATTGAATTTTTTATTTTATGTTTATCAAAATTTTGTACCACCCTTCTTAGGCCAACTTTTCAGTCATGAAACACACATTTATTATATTTCAATCTTTGTTGTTGGTCAATAATAAAGAAAAAGATTGTGTGTGTCATTAATTAAGTTCTCTCTTGTTGGAAAGAGATATAATTGCCCTCCATATCACAGCTGTAAATTGCAATCAAAACAAATCAACCCCTCTAAAGAGGTATTCATTCCATGATTTAGAAGACAAAGCCAATGGTGATAATTATTTCAGT